AAAAACTCAAATCCTACCGAAGAAATTCTGTGACAGTGTGCTGATCCCATAAATAATAAACACTATTGTAAAAAGAGAATTAACCTTGTCTGATCTGAAACCATGCTCCAGTTATTCAAGACCTTCCAGCACACGAGAAAGCAAAGCGCAAACCTCTACTGTGCCTTCTTCTTTCATCTTCAAAAGTGAAGAACGAGCAGCAAAACGTAAAGAGGCAAGTCAAACACCTCTGGATAATGAATTAATATCAATTCTGATGCCTCAATCTCAACTATCAACCTCTTCAACAGTTCTTTCAGAAGCTAGAAGAGAAGAAGAATGCAAAAGAGCCAGAAAAACAGCTGCTACAAGCAAAATCAAGTGTTTCGTTATCAATTGTATTATTGAGATACTATTGTTTCTGATTATTAACAAGGTTATCCGAAGTTTCTCTTGATAAGAAAACATATTAAATAGTCTCCAACTTCTTGTTTGAGCAGGAGAAACCGAAAATTGATTTTAGAGATATGCGCCATTCCATTGCATTTAAAGTTGGACCAAATGGAAAGACTTCTGCTAAAACGGAATCACCAAATAATCTTGTGAAGAAGGTAATAAAGTATTTTATTTTAATTTTACTTGTTAGCTTTCCTTTTTGGTGCGTTATGTGATTGTCACCAACTTCATGTTTGTGCAGGAGAAACCGAAAACTGATTTTAGAGATTTGCGCCATTCCATTGCATTTAAAGTTGCACCAAATGGAAAGGTTTCTGGTAAAACAGAATCACCAAACTGTCTTGTGGAGAAGGTAATAAATATTTTTATATGAATTATACTTGCTAGCTTTTCTTTTCACTACATTATGTGAGAAACCTGAAATTATGTGGGGTCCGTGAGAACCCCTGTACAGACCCTATGCAAAGGAGCTTTATTTCCACCAAATTTTATCCGAACAAGGCTTAGTTTGTTGTTGCTATAAAATTGGGATTAGGCTCCCTGACTTGAAGTAATCTGTCAATATACCGAGAAACTATTTAAGTTCTCGCTCATGTTTTTATATTTTCTTCCATTGTCTTAATAATAGCAATGAATTGTAGATCCCCAAAATACAAACTTGTGAGGAAGAATTCAAAGAAAAGGCGGCATCAAAGGTCCAGGATAAAGATTCTCGTCCAGCATGGAGGTTTTCGGCAAAGACAGACGGCTCTAAGGATGTTGCAGGAAAGAGTAGCCGCCCCCCAATCTATTCTGCAAAATCATTGCCGAAGAAAAGACAGCATGAAAATGTTTCTCCGAATATCCAGCCTTGATACGTTTGGAAAAGCTTGTGTACGATTACGAAGCAAACTTTTCAGCTGATTGGATAAGAGTTGCCCTCTATATCTTTTTACTACATGGTTATAGAAATGAAGTTTGAGATAGCATACAGGAAGTTATTTAGAGGTTAATTATTGATTTCTTTGTCAAATAGAGGTATGATATTGTGATGGTTCTTTTAAAATTCTTTGTGGGTGTGCAGTTTTCTTCTATAGATTCTGCTTCGGATACACAATTTTTGTATGGCACAATCATTAAATTCTTTTTAAAGATCTGCCATTGGCATTCACTTTACCCGTCTGTAATGTGAATATTCGAGGGAGAAGGGGAATATGGCAGCCACCCTTAGAATGTGGTACCAGAGAATTCCGAGTCCCTAGATTTATGAAAATTATGCATGCATCAATTCTTTGATAAAAAAAAAAAATAAATTTGCCCTGGTGGTGTATCGAAGACTAGTTAAATCTAAAAAGGTAAAATCGCTCATCTCTAAAATTTAAGCTTATGAGATAGTTAAACACTAATTTTGTGTGCAAGTAAATTTACCGTCCAAAATAAAAGTTTTCTGGACTTAGCGTTGTTTGAGATGTACTAGATAAGTTATTTTGTTAGTTGTCTTGTAAATTGTTCTTGAGTACTATATATCAAATATATCTCTGCCACAAGCAACTATAACACAATCGATAACTTTATTGAGTTGTCGTTTCCATTTCGATGCTTGGGTTCCGAAAAATCGAGGCGAATTCTTGTATATATCTACTAATCAACATCACCATGAGGTATCTTCCTAAATGGTTTCTTATGAAAATCACATCATATAAACGTATAGCAATAGATTGTTGTTCGGCATCATGAGTGGCAACTTTTCAATATAACAGGAGAAGTATCCTATATTCTCTTTCGCAAGAGTGATAGCATCGACCACCTCACAATTACTGGTAGGATTGTGCTATGTGTACATAAAGCATTACACCCCCTCACATGGAGGGGGGGCCTACAGACAATAAAATATTCGTGGACTCCCTTCATGTGAGGTGGGTGTAATATATTGTGTACACCATAAGGTGTACACATAGAATAATCCTTAACGGTAAGAACCAACATTGGCAAAATGTGTAGGATTGAGAATGGACACACCTGAGATGAAAAGATGATATTTTGAAAAATTTAGGCTTTATTTGTCTTCCACATTCTACCACATTATTTTTTCTATAGTACTCATTTTCAACCACATATTCTTCATTAAAATAATATTAAACGTAAATAAAGAACTTTAATTTTTCTTTTTTAACCACACATTTCAACATCAATCATTATTCCACAATACATCACTCACAAATAATGGGGCACAAACAAGGACTTAATTGGATTTAGAAAAGTGAACTTTGTGCAAGCTTTGATGTATTAGATTCCATGAAGCATAATCATAGTGGACGAAGCATGAGCGAGTTAATGTTTATTCCTATAGGGTAAAATCAAAGAAAACAGAATAGACCTTAGCAATCATGAAAACAGCCAATGCACATTGATTGGCCACATTTAGATAATGCAACCTTTGATTCTATTTCCATGCATATTCCACATTCATCCTCTGTTTCAGAATCTCTGCAAGCGTCTATTTGTTTCGTCTCTCTTGAAATTATCCTCCCTCAATTCCATCAGATTGCCTTCAAGTTGTTTCAGTGAAGGATATATAACAGCTGTAATAATTTTCTATTCTGCGATATAAGCCTCCGAGTACTTACAGACATTTGACTGGCGAAGGAAGATAAATCATGGAAAAGGATTCGAGTAGAGAAGATAAATAGTAATCATAGAAATCCCGGAAGAGTGGCTTTTCTTTCTTGCGCAGATGCTGTTTGTATTTCATCAACATATACCTGTTTGTACAGAGGTAAATGATTTAGCTTCTAACATTGAAAAACATCATGTGAACAAACAAACTTGGGGAAAAAACCTCCCAATCACGCTGTAACGCAGTTTAATTTGAACATAATCCCCACTCAGATCACAAGGCAGAGCCGCCAACCTGGGAAATTTGTATCATGATCAAAATCAACTATTAAACAAAGATTCTAGACCGATTCTCAGCGTCTATAATGTAATTAATATAATTAGTATCATAAACAGTTGTAAAAAAAGGAGTTAAAAGTAGAAATATTTGACAGAACTTTGGCAAGAACTATGACCACAAAGTGTCAGCTGTATCTTGAGGCAGTGTAGTTGAGCACATCCAACATTCTTTATTTTAGAAAGAAACTTTAGACAAAGTGAAATACTAAGTGCTTGTTTGGAAATGCTTATAAGTTGTACGTCCTAATGAATACGTGTGTAGTAAATTATGAATTCTATGTGACGATAAAAATATATTTGACTAGTTTAAATTAATAGTTAAGCGTTGCAAACATGTACTAAATGAAGGCAACTTACAGATTTCTAAACCTATGCTAGTTCATTTTACAAAAAATTGTATGGTCTGATGCAACTCAGTCTCGCTTACACCTACCTTAATTCGTTTTAAGGTATTTCGTACAGGTTCACATCTAGTAATCTCGTCTTAAGGCATTTCCTTCCTGTTCAACTTCTATTCGTACTTGTCCCAAAGAAAAACACGAGCCAACAACGTCAATTTTGTCCAACCAAAGGCAGCACAAAGGATTGAATCAACTGTGGGAAATAAAGAAAAAAAAGTATAACAAGTTTTGTAAAAACAATGTTTTGAATAGTAATTTTTTTGGAAAATTTGTGGTTAAAAAATAGGAAAATTTTTGGATTACGTTTAAAATATTTTATTGTGTAAATGTGTGGTAGAAAATGAGTGTGTAAATTAAAGAGTTTTGGAATAATGATTGTCAAACGGGGTTTAATCACTTCCAAGATGATATAAATAAGTGATACTTCGTAAATATTTTTATATTTTGACTGGAATTACATTTTATTGCAAAAAGGGCAAGCAAGAAACACATTATTTTAAAGAAAAAAAGTGCGGTAACGCTTACAGCTTGTTAGCATGTTGGATATCAGCTTCAAGAACTTTGATGGATTCTTTGAAAGAAGACTAGTGAGTCTGTTTCTGGCACATCTAATTTCTTAGATGAAAAAGGAAAGATAGAGCAAAAACTATATAGAAAGGAAAGAACTCTTTCGAGAGGATTTAACAGAGAGAGTTTGCTTAATGTAGAAACATTTCTGACTTAGAAAAGGATATCTTTCCTTGTCTCATTCTCTTATGTGGCCTTCTTAGCATAACACATTATGAGCTTGTTTGGGAGTGATTTTGAGAATTGATTTTTTGATCGTTAGGAGAAAAGTGGGGTCCATCTGTAAGAGAAGAAATCAAATATGACGGCAAAAAATTTAAATGACGGTCAAAAAATCAATTTTTTGGGTGAAAAAATCGGGCCCAAACATGCCCTATACGTGCCTTGCATTTATTTCATGTTTTTCAGCCCTGTTTGTCAACTATTATATCACATTATTTTTTTTTATAGTACTCATTCAATCACACATTCTTTATTAAAATAATATTATATATAAATAAAAAACTTTTTTTTTTTAACCACACATTTTAACATTAACGACTATTTCATTCATCATTCTTTGAAATTAAAGGGGGCACAAACAGACCCTCAATTTACTGCCTATCTCAAACTTAGTCAAAAGTACACTTGTTCCCACTTCTTCAACAAGCAAAGAGTCAAGTATAAGAGTATTAACCAACATGGTTTGGATCGTTCCTCTTGATAAGGATAACATTTTATAATGAAATCATAAGTTTCCATATGGTGTTAGAGCTCAATAACTCAAATGAGTGATTCAATCGGTTTAATACTCAAATATGCATTCAAATTTTAAAATTGATGTGTTCGAACGAGCTACCATCGTGCGGCAAAAATCACACATTGTTAAAAATACTATGTCCCTATTCGATGCAAATTAAAATTAGATTTTTAGTAGATTTTGATAAAAAAATGATAAAATGTGTGGTTGAAAAGTTGTGGGTTCCTTAAAACGTATGTTTTAATTGTTGACTTTGACTTAAATTAAACTTGAAATTTAAGTTTTCACCAAATGTAGAGATGTGACGACAAGCCACAAGTCACGCACAAAATTCAGATTTTTTTTTTTGGGTAATCAAATAGGTAAATTATTGATCACCATTGATTAACAGTTGGGGCAATATGTTCATCACTAATTAAGATTGGCTTTTTAAAATTTTAAATTAAAGCACAATTCGTGAATTTATAATCAGTTGCAAACCTTCCTTCACGATCATGTTTGAAAGGCGAGTTGTAATCAATGTAATTGTATTATTTAGTGTGACGTTCTCGTTGCAAAGAGGGTAACTTCCAATAGAAACTAATGCCTAAAGCTCTTGATCAATTGCTAAATTAAAGTTCGACTCATGGGCTTATAATTCGATACATTCCCTACAAATTATACGTGCAAGTTAGTTTTTATTAAGAATTAGATGTTCCATTTTACAAGGTCAACCTTATTAAGAGGAATAGTTCAAGTGGTTATGAATTGATTTTTTGTTTTCATTTTTATTCGATGTGAAATTTGCCGCTTAACGTGCTCTAGTAACATGATGACTCGTTTAATTAGATAATCTTTAAATTCGTGTGCTCATTTTCAGTGTTAATCGAATTGAAAAGTTCGTTGAAATTTAATGGATTCTAATATCATACTAAAACTCAGAATTCCATCTTAAAATATTAACATTATTAAAAAAAGTAACACAAACCGTTATAAGTTAATCTATATTTTCATTATATCGAATTTATCCATTTGCAGTTTTAAAAGATGGATTTCATCCAATGTAAACAATCAAGTCATTGCACTTAAAAACTAATCTATCAAACTCTTCAATGTGAATTCAACTACGAAAAGGGGTTGAAAAATCAGTTGAGCAGAAGAGGCAACAGAAAAAGTGCTCCGCCCATAATGGGCTGCCGCCGGCGGAGACCACCATTTCTTCAATCACGGTGGCTTGTGTTTTTCGTTTTTTATTGCTGTGGATTCTCATGTTTTATATAAATATGCAAATCAACCCTATAATCAGACTCGCAAACATATTATTTTACAAAAAATAGATCGTTAGATATGTTTATTTTATAGCCACTGGAAATTAATTATGGTTTTCACACCAAAATATAAGAATAATAATCCCTTAATTTAACAAATTATTCCAAAAATAATTAATCAACTATACCTACAAATTCATCTTAGCCTTTTCAAATAGTTAAGTATTTATTGACTTATTGCATAAATGTTATGATTAAGTCTCAAGGTTTGAATGGCAATGGATTATCAAGAAAATATTTTTAAAAGCGCTTTTTTATATTCATATATATATTTTTATTTTATTTTTATTACCAACTTATTGAGAATTCGTCTTCCGATCAACTCAAACTTTGTCAATTCTTCTCCTCTTTCTCTTTGTATATTTAAAATACGTTACAAATCCAATAGAACATTTGGATACAAACCAGTGTCATGGACCAACTACGCTTTTGAAAATAAGAATGCGATAAAAATGATGAGGACACAATTATGACAGTAAACCAATGTGTCAATTTTCGACAGATTTACAATGACAACAACCTTCACTTCAGACATTCGCTCGTATCTAAAATGTGTCAATTATTATCACACAAATGAAAAAAAAAAAAAACAAAGGCAGTTCTACAAATAACCGATTAATGAAAGGTGAAATATGAATTAAAAAATAAAAATCTTATGAGATTCTTGGGTGAGATCTTAGAAGAAGACTTTTTCAATCTTTGTTATTACAACAAAATAATTTAGTCAAGATTGAATTAAAAATATAGTCGCCAATTAGAACAAGTTAGATTAACTGCTCCCTATCATTATGATATTAATTATGAGTATAACGCTAGGAGTAGATAAGCATCATATAACAAAATATTAAATTCCTCTAGAAGTCCCCAACTTCTCACAAGTGTTGCAAGTGTGTCCCAAACTTTTTGTTGGTGCATACATACCCCGAATTTTTAAAAATTGTTCGAGTTGTATCTCACCCGAGTCTACATGACATGCGTATTGTTCTTTTTTGACACTTTACTTTTTTAATTAAAAAAATTATATGTGCATCCTGTGATCATTTCGCATCTAAATAAATAGTGTTTACATTGTTTAAAAGGTTTGGAATATGAATTTAAAATACTGTTGTCACACTTATATAAAGTTGAGGACTTATGTAGGAATTTACCCATAATAAAACACCACCGAATACCCATGGACCTCCTGACATTATTGTACATTATTTTCTTTAAATAATTTGCTTCATACGTTTAATTTTGAGGCATTTTAACTGAGAAGCGTCTAGAAAGGAAAGATAAAATCATCGCACTTGCAAAACAGTCCTGATCAAAGCCGCCCCCTTAGAAAAGATTGTGCCAATAAAGTTGAAATCTTTGGTATAGAAAGTTTTCTTGTTGTTCTTGTATTCTGCCCATTTGTTATCTAAGAAAACAGTACTGGGTTTCTCGAAAAAAGACCAGATTTTGGGTATTTTGCAGCTTGGGGGCACTTTTAAACTTTTCCCAAAAAAAGGTTCTTTTGTGGGCAGAAAAAAGAGGAAGTGAGGGGAGATGGAGATGATGTACTATCAGCAGGTGGGGAGGTCTTACAATGAAACTTTGAAAGTTTTGGAGTCTGATATACAGTATGCAAATGTTATGTAAGTATTCATATTCAGAGCTTAGTTTAATTTCAAAATTTCTAGTTTAGGAAGAATTAACTTTGTTTTATGTATGAAAATCTTAGTATATCAAAGTATCTTTCTTTAAAGCAATTGAAATGAACTACACTTTGATGATAATTGATCCCAATTTAGTCAAATGATCCCTGATTTTGTTTTCAGTGCCAACGCAGTGGGTGGGTTTGGCTGGCCGTGGTGGAGGGGGCTGGGATATGACGCCACGCCAGGGTGGTGGTGGATTGTTTGGGGATAGGCGGTGAGGATGGAGATGAAATTGGAGGAGAGGTGAATGAAGGTTGTTTGGCGATTTTGAGGAAAAAAATAACTGGAAAGAAAGAATTCAATGTTGGTTTTACGGAACTTGTAGAGCGATTTGGGGTTTTCTGCTTGTTTTTATTGATGGCTACTATTCGATTTTCTTAGAATTCTTTTGAATACTGGACACTATTAAGAAAAGAAATCTTGTTTATTATACTCTTCCATCCCGTCGAGAACCACCAAATATGCACTTAAGGTTCTATCTTTTAGGACATAATATTGAAGGCATAATACTTGACTATGTTTTAAGAAGACAATCGATATTCCGTTCCATGGCAGCATCTGATCATTTTTTCTTCTTTGCTAGGATTGTCCTAAAATGGGGATATATACATTGACAATGTGTGCTTTATGGGAATTAATGATCCTTCTTAAGCTGGTTCTAGTTTTTGTATAATGAAATCAACTTATGGCAATGAATACTGATTATTTTGTGTGAATTACTTATTTGGCAGGGCTGCAGCAATTCCGAAAGCTAAGGATGGTGCACAACTTCAAATGAAATTGGTTTATAATCAATTGTCACCTCTCTTTTTATTTTTGCTTCAATGGATGGATTGTTCCTGCATGTGCTTTTTCCCAAGATACTTCAATTTTTTCCACATACTTATTTGCAAGGTCCAGCAGATTATGTTTTTCTATTAATTCGGAGATAATATATTGTTGAATAATAATTTTTCTAGACCAAAAAATTTAACGAATTATTAGATAAGTTTTGCCCTCGATTTGTTTTAACTTTTTGAAAGTGCTGAGATCTCTATTGTGATACAGGTATATACAGATGGGAGGCCGAAAATATCGTCATGTGGAAGGAAAGCAACTGTTAAAGATTTTTATGGTTTGTCAGTTAATCATTTTGTTTACTTTAGAGAAAGTTGTCATTCATTACTTCAAGTTATGCAATTGTTCTTGGTAAGTGCTTAGAAAACGTAATACAATGCAGCTGTTATATTGCCATCGCTTCAACGACTCCAGAGTGAATTCGTAGAGATGGATAGTACTGGACACGGTGATCCTTGTCTGAAAAGCATTGGCAAGCAGAGACAAGAAGGGGATGACAGGTTTTCCAACTACAATTTGCAAAGAGATGAAGAATGCGGGATATGCTTAGAGCCCTGCACCAAAATGGTCTTACCTAATTGCTGCCATGAAATGTGCATAAACTGCTATCGTGACTGGTAAATAGTATGATATCTTCGTTGGTGTGCTTTTTTTTTCCATGGGAAAATTGCTTTGTTGGTTCCTAATCTATTGCTCAGTAGAAACAGTTGGTCTTTAAACTTCCATTATAATTGCAGTCATCAATCTCTGTTAAATAGTATAATGACCAGCACGTCTCCAGCTTCATGAAGCTAGGTTTTTTTTTCCCCAAATTAGGTTGGTGTTTAAAAATTTGAAGTGGGGCGTGTCTTCATGAGCGTCACGTGAATATTGTTAGTTTTCTTTGTTAAGGACTGATCGTGCAATGATAACGAAACATTTAGGCTTACTCTATTTTAAAGGTTGGAGGCCAACTTGCTACTTCAGCGAAAGTTTGAGGACAAGAGTTCTAGAACAAATAGTGCAATTCCCCATATTTTCCATTATATCAATGAGTAATGATATTCAATGTTACTGGTGTCAAGCACCAATTCAGGTGGCAACTGTATGGTATTAAATGATAGATTCATTTAAATGTAAATTTCACATGATTCATTTAATTGAACTTATCTAGTGTGGCTACCTAAATTATTGTCCTTGCACCACTGATGCTAGATAGTATTATTATACATTAATATCTAATTCTGAAGAAAAATTCCACTTCATGTCGACCTAATTCCCTTTTTTCTTACAATTGTCAGGAGTACAAGATCGGAGTCGTGCCCATTTTGTCGTGGTGGCCTAAGGAGAGTCGAATCAAGAGATCTATGGGTTCTTACATGCAACGATGATGTGGTTGACACTAACACTGTCACTAGAGAGGACTTGTTTCGTTTCTACTTGTACGTCAGTAGACTGCCAAAAGATTCCCCTGATGCCCTGTTCTTAATGTATTATGAACACTTAATATGATGTGAAATAAAAATGGTGTACAGATAGAAGAAACTGATTTTCAAATGTAAAGTTCTCTCATTGACACAGAATAAACCACCACTTTTCTTGAAGTGGTGCTCTGTAGGATTTCTGTAAATTATATTGGAAGTTGAATTATTACCAAAATTCGTGTTTCAACTTGATCTTTTAATTTTATATGATAATAATCTATCAGTATCTTGCTCTCCGGATGAAATGATCTGGAGCTGTAAACCCACCAGGCAATGGTGGATGTGAGGCTTTCGTATGTAGTTATATAGAACTGTAATGATGTGACTGCTTACTATTCGTTATGATAGAGCTTGAGTCCATCTTACTCACGAATTTCTATTGCGTCTTCAGAATCTGAACTCTTGACCTTTCAAGACTTTAAATTGAATCTTCATACTAATTGGATAAATACGTAAATTGACGGCTTGGATACAGAGGTCGAATCGTTACACTAACCATAATAAAATCAAAAGCAATGGTCCAAAAGTGGAAAATGTTCAAGTGAAAATCCATTAATATACTGGTGCAATTACATGTAATTATACGGTACAACGATATATCGCTCACTCTGATCTCATCTTGTTGATCTGGTTCAGAGCTGGTTGCAAAATGTTGTACAGCACCCACAGAATGGCTGGAGTGATGACAAACAGCAAAAGCTGGCCCCTGTTGTCATTCGCGGCATCAGCAATCATAGCAATTTCACTAGCTGATGCATCAGATGGCTGCATCAAACTCCACGTGGCAAGCCCACCTAGACCGAGTCCGACAATAACTCCTTTGGCGCTTCTCATTTTGTTGATCTGGTTAAGTGCTGGTTGCAGGATGTTGTAGAGTACCCAAGCTATGGCCGGAATGATCGGAATCAGAAGTGCTAGTCCCCGACTATCACCTTCGGCTATCTCAGCAATCTGTTGTGCAGCAAAGGCAGGATCACACGCGCTCAATGTCGAGAAAACAGCACCAGCAAGGGCGGTTCCGGCCAACAGACCAGAGTTTTCTGGCAATTTCGAGGAGGCAAGGCCTTTTGGGAGGTTCTGGTTGGAGACAAGAGAAACTGGTCTTGTGGTAGGCTTAAAACACTTGGTGTTGGTGCTTAAGCACTTAGAATTGAGCATAGCCATGGTAGATATTGTGGCTGCCATTGATGCAGATTCTTGTTAGACCTAAGGGAGGAGTTGAATTGATCAAACGTTCAAAGATTACTAAGCAAAAGACCTGATTTGCAACGGGGATATGGTGCTATGAGAAAATGGTATATGGGGATGAAGTCAGTCAGGTGAAAGAAATGAGAGCCAATAGGAATGTGTAATCGGGATTGTTCTCTTATCCATTCAGTTTGATTGGTGAAATAAAGACCCCATATTAGATAACCCACCAAGGTTTCTTATCACTTCCTCTCCTCTCTATCGTATTTCTATTGAGAATAAAAGAAGGTTCCGAAAATTAAACTTGGCATTAATTCGAAAGAGTAAAGGTTCAAAGGGTGTTTTGGGGTTGAATTGGTGGTTAAAATTAACAAAAAAAAAAAAAAAAAAAAAATTGTTATTTAAAAAAAAAAAAAAAAAAAAAAAAAAAAAAAATTGTTATTGAATTGGTCAGTTCTTAGTGTGAACCCGATGATTCCTAAATTATTTTAGACTTTTTTAGCTTTCTTGTTTTTAATATATAACTTGAGGCTTAATAGCACACAACGTCCCTACGTTGAGCTTGTAGTGTGCAACACGTCCCTACATTTTAAATTTTTGCATTTTCACTTATATTTTCACGTTTTATTGCAGAAAATGTCATTTTCACCAATTTTTAATTTAAAATGATCAATATACCCTCATATTTAAATAAAAGAAAAAATAAAGAACAAACTGCAACTACAGACCCAAATTTTTCAAAAAGCTTAATAGTACAAAACATCCCTATGTTTCTTCCCACACCTTACCCACACCCCACTCATTATTTTGGAAAATCATGGAGCTGTCGACCTCTATCTCACCAACCACCATCCAATTGCCTCCTAAAACACCAGACCTCACATTACAAACAGCTACCATCAACCCCCAAACACTTTTCCATAAACAAATTGAATGAACAATAAATTTATATATGGCCAAAATTAACTAAAAACGCAAGCTCAAAGCACTACCTTTTCCATCAATTTCAGCATCAACTGTGGTTCGGCTTCGCATGATGCCACATCATGCCGCAACTATTACAATAATGGGCTTCCATCAATTTCATTCTCACATGTCTTAGAATTTCTGCTAGTTATTGCCTAGTAAGTAATTGAAAGCTATTGCTGTGGATTTTGATTTTGTGCATCTGTTGATGTTTTAAGACCATGAAGAGAGTCGTCCTAGTGAATATAGTCGATTGTTGTATTGGGAATGACATTGGTCTCATCGAAACAAGTGGTACCGCCAGTATTTGCATTCGTATGTTGGGTATTTTGGCTTGCAATTTTGACCAAATCCGTTGGCAAGAAAATTGAATGTTGGGTGGTATGTGCAGAGGAAAGTGATGGCTTTTCGACCGTTTGGGCGATGGTTGGCTAAAATTTTTTGGCCTCTAAGTTGGCGGCCCCATTTGAATTTTAGGGCTTGGTGATAGTTTTTTCAAATTCATTCTTTAATTGCACTCATCCATCGACAGAATATCTATTTTAGAAATGTCGATGGAGGGGTGAAATTTCAATAGTTTTGGCGTTGGCGACGACGGTGGTGGTGGTGGTGGAGGCGAAGGAAGAGGAGGAGAAGAAGAAAAGAGAGTTTTTTCTTTTGCTATTTTTAGGATTTGTCCGGTAGTGATTATGAGAATTGATTTTTTTACCGTTAGAAAGAAAAAGCGGGTTCCACTTGTGAGAAAAGAAGTAAAAAATGATGGGTGACTTAGGAAAGTAACAATGAAAAGACTAATTTTTTTTGGGTGAAAAATTAGGATCCAACATGCACTAAATAATTTATTTGGACTCATTTACAATTTTTAAAAAGTTTAAGAGTAAAATTGCAATTTTGTTCTTAATTTTTCTTTTCCTCATTTTTTTTTTTATCTAAATAAGAGGATATATTGGTCATTTTAAGTTAAATTGGTGAAAATAACATTTTTTGTAATGAAACGTGGAAATGGGGGTGAAAAAGTAAAAAATTAAAATGTAAGAATGTTTTGCACATTATGGTCAAACATAGGAGATGTTTTGTACTATTAAGCCCGTTTGACTTTGACATCAAGCCTATTACTTGATGTCAAATTGACTAGTCCGTTCAGATTTTGACATTTCATGGTCAAGTGAAAAAGGAAAAAAAGCGAATGTAGTATACTTTTGTAAACTTCACTTTTACTACAATATTTTTTTTGTCAGTTCTATGGTCATCGACTCATTGAGTACTGATACTTAGGATTAAAAAAATTATCAGGAAGTCCTTTTTGGATGAGGAGAGGGAAAATCTAGGGATAACAATTTGAACCATTAAAATCGAAAATCGCGGTTAATCGAACCGAATAGGATGAAAAAAATCGAACCGATGGTGCAATGGGACAGATATGGTATTTGATTTTAATGAACCGGCTCGTGACGGTGCGGGTATGGTATTTATGCCGTCGAACCGAAATCGAACCGATTACCTGCTTAAAAAACACCATTCTTTTATTAGGGATGACAAGGTTTAGAAAGAAGGAAATTAACGAAGATATACATTTTTTTATTTAAATCTTAGTTAAAATCATTTTGAATTAGGTAGTATCATTGTATTTTCCACTTACATTTCTTATTTACTATATAGTAATCAATTTTGAGTGCTGATCTATACTAGTAAGAGTTGTGGGAAAAAATGAAGATTGAATATGAGTTAAGATTGAAGTTTTTGAATTACTGAGTATAAATCAAATAACTACAATGCACAAGAATAAAAAATGAAGGAAAAGTTTAGTATTTTTATATTAATAATATTGTTTGTTAAATTTGTATTTTATAATTGAAATTTGGGATAATGTTTGTATTTTCGTTTGGAATATTGTGTTTTTGTTTTCATTGGCTCTCTTTTTATAAATTGTTTTATATCAATTTGACGTATGGACCTATACAAAATAATTTATTTTCTTGATTATTAATATAAACCGAACTGAGCCAAATCGAGATACGAACCGAACCAAATCGAACTGATTTACGTGGTTATGATGCGATTATGGTATGACAAAAAATTTGACGGTTTGGTTATGGTTTTGGCCGAACCGAACCGAAATCGAACCATTGCCATCCCTAAGAAAATCTCTATCTATGAATCAAGGGTAGTTCAAAAGGAAAAGGAAATAGCAAATCAAAAGCTGTTGAGGGTGAATCGTTCGTCCAAGTAATTGAAAAGTAGTAATGTTAACAAATGAACGAGAAAAAAAAGTGTTAGATTTTGCATATACCTGATTTTTTTCAAAATATTAAAAACCCACCTGATTTCTCAAAAGGTCACATATTATTTTTTTCCATCACATAATTGCCAAACTATATTAGGACTATATTTCTCAATTTGGTCTTATCATATGAGCCATATGAGCCTGTTTGATTTCCACTTTTCTAATAATAGAATGAAAAATATAATCGTTACAGGACCAATACAAGAGATAAAAAATCAAATATGATTATTTGATGTGATGGATAACGATCATATTTTTTATTTTTTGTAGTAAAAGAATGAGAATCAAATGGACCCTCATCATATCTATAAAAGTTTATTTCCACACACTTCACATGGGGATAATAAGATGTTGCTTATTTTACTTCTTATGATTTAATTTTTTACTTTCCTTGAAAGTTATTGTCTTATGAATGGTCAATTTAATTGTTTAGTCAATGAGCTCACTATGATGTTACAGATAACTTTAACATTAATTAGGTGGCCAGTCCTAATTAACTACATGGAAAATGTAAAATATACTTGTTTTTGGTTCTTAATTATGTATAGAGGATGTCGAGTCAATTTGTTGGTATGATTTTAAAACAAAGACTCGATGAAACTTTATAAAAAATAGTCAAGTGATTGCACACGTTTATGAAAATCAACAACATTAATTGGTTCAAATCTCTCAAATATGATTAAAATGTTTAATTCATTCTTGTGCACTTTATCGTAACCAATAATCACGACGAAGAGTGGCAATAACTAATATTTATCCATTTCACTTTTCCCAAATAGATGAATTGACAAATGAACACCATTTGTTTATTTTTATTCCATAAAGTTTATATTAAAATAAATGAATTGACAAATCAACCTCAATTGTTTATTTTGTTTTATAATAAACATTGTATTAAAATAATTTGGCTTAGCTACCAATAATTGATAGTGACAATGACCCAATCGACCCACCTCCATCACTAAAACATAGAAAATAGTTTTAAAAAATATAAAATTGCCAAATACGTAAGGAGAGAACCAATGGATAGAAAACAAGTGTAAACCATGTTCTAGCTACTTTATTAAAATTGAATAAATTGATACACGGCACGTTATTAAGTAATTCTTTCTTCTACTAAAAGTATTATGCACTTCATGTTCTTTTTTCTACTATCGGTCTTGAAGTAAATCGAGCTGCTTTTTATCGTGTGAATCAAAAATTGGATGAAGACTTACTTAAATACTTTTGAGTCAGAATAAATATGTTTTCGAACCTTTCTGATTAAAGAATTTCTTTCTAGTTGCTCTGGAACAATTAAGAGATTCTCTCGAAGAAATACGGGGTTCTGCTTCTGGCAGCAACATGCTTGATCCCGAAGTAACGAAGTTTGCAGAGTGGCTGCAATTTTAAGTACTTTAATCTTTGGATCCAAGAAGCTCAGTTTCGAGTTGTTACTGTTGTGTTATCTTTAGATGTAAATTATGGATGAAGCTGTTCATTATCTCAAGATGATTCCAGTTCTTCTAATTTTAAATGATTCTTATTTTTGAGAATTATGGTTAATATAAGACGTATTATATTCACATTACATTTTTTATTTGTTAAACCATATTTTAATTTTATTTAAGGTGATCGGTCTTTGATTACTATAGACCTTATGCCCTTAACTTTATTTTGTACGCATTCTTATTTTCAACATGTTATTAATTAGCATATCTTATATTTTATAATAGTTTCTTGCAAACAAGTCCGTTCGGAGGCTTAAAATAACTTATTTTTCAACTTTGAAGAAAATAAAAAAAGAAAAGTTGTGGCAAAATATTTTTTCCTCATTTTAAAACACACAATAAAAAATATTTAAACTGAAATCATCATCAAGAACCATGTTTGCTAATTAACAAATTATCGAAGATAAAAAATCAATGGAAAAGTATGGACAAAAGTTTT